GCCAGGGGCTTCCATGTTGTGCAGAGGCAGGTTATTGGGCGGTAGTTGGATGGTATTGCTCCCTTCCGAGGGTCCTTCAGGATCAGTACTGTCTGGCCTTCAGTTAACCACTCAGGGTGGGTTTCATCCATTAGTAGTTGGTTCATTTGTCCTGCCAGGTGCTCATGGAGTGAAGTTAGCTTCTTTATAACCAGTAGGTGTGGATCATGTCAGGGCCTGGTGCTGTCCAGCTCTTCATACTTGAGACCTTCTCTTGAATGTCTGCCATTGTGATGATTACTGGGTCTTGTGCAGGGAGGTTGCTGTGGTCTGCTCTTAGGTCCACCAGCCACTGGGCATTGTTGTTGTGTGATGCCCCCTTCTCCCATATGGTCTTCCAGAACTGTTCAGTCTCCAGCCTTGGTGGGTCTGCTCTCATGTTATTACCCTGCAACTGAGAGTGCACCTTGGATGGCTCAGTGGAGAACATTTGGTATACTCTCCTGGCTAACTTCTCTCCTTGCTGCCTTGATCTTGGTCTCCAACCTCCTTCTCCATGGAGGTTACTGCTCCTTATGGCCTTTGAGGAACTTATAGCCAGGCATCTCAAGGATCACAGTTGCTGTGGTGTATATTAGCTTGTTGATGTCAATAATGGTCATAGTAGGGATTGTTCTTAGTGCTGCATTCATATCCTTTAGTAGACTTTCAGAAGGCACTTCACTTAGTCTTGGTAACTGGCCATTGGAGTTCCAGGTGTCCATCTTTCTCATGATCTTCAATCTCAGGCAGCACAGGAACAGGCTCTAAGTACAAGATCAATAGAGACAGGGGTTTACCATACCAGACAGGACCCCAGGTGCAGGCTGTGCAAAGATGCCCCTGAGACAATCCAGCACATAACAGCGGGGTGCAAGATGCTAGCAGGTAGGGCATACATGGAACACCATAACCAAGTGGCTGGCATAGTGAACAGAAACATCTGTGCCAAGTACAGGCTGGAAGTCCCAAAGTCAAAATGGGATACACCTCCAAAGGTGGTTGAGAATGACCAAGCAAAGATCCTGTGGGACTTCCAGATACAAACTGGTAATGGCCAACCAACCGGACATAGTAGTGGTGGACAAACAGAAGAAGAAGGCTGTAGTGATCGATGTAGCAATCCCAAGCGATAGCAACATCAGGAAGAAGGAACACGAGAAGCTCGAGAAATACCAAGGGCTGAAAGAAGAGCTAGAAAAGATGTGGAAGGTGAAGGCACAAGTGGTCCCTGTGGAACATTGGGGGCTGTGACCCCCAAACTGGGAGAGTTGCTCCAACAGATCCCAGGAGCAACATCTGAGATCTCTGTCCAGAAGAGTGCAATGGAAGTGCTGGAAGAGCCATGACTGAGGATTCAAGAGACCATCCTTCGTGGAAGTTTTCTGTGAACTGACACACCCTTTATCAGAAATCAGTTGATTGGGATGCATCTCCTCTCATGTTTTCCTGTTATGTGGGCGAAACTAAGACACAAGGAGAAGATGCAAGTGATGGAAACGACGGTGCTTATAAAAGACTTGGGACGTACCCACTGTGTTTAAAAGAAGCTGCCTGCTGCAGCTAGGAACAAGGTTGATGAGAGTGGCAAGAGAGAACCAAAAGAGTAAAGTCATGTGCTGTGCAACCAAAATAACAATCTGAAAGATGCTAAAAATAAGAACTAGGACGGGGGGAACTGCAGAATTGGGTGATATTTGCCTGTGTATCTGTCACTCTAACTGATCCCTTTTGATCCGCTGTTAATGTGACAGTATTGATTAGTGCAGTTTTAAAAATCCTTTTAAAACTGAGTATGCATTATTGATATAAACAGCTGACCACACATGTAGGCATATACAGTGTACTGTATATGGACTAATAAAGAGTTAGTATTAGCTGGGAACTACAGATTTGTGGTTACACAGAGGATATTTACCCCCTACTGTAAATTTTTTTCCAACACACAGGACCAGCACTCCACTATGGTGGATTACCATGTACCAATTGCCCCAGGAGGGGTGGCTGACATCTTCGACAAGCTGGAGTCCAACAGGAATACTCTACAGATCAAACACTTCTCTGTGAGCCAGACCACACTGGATGAGGTGAGAAAAATAGGCAGGACATAAAGAGGGAGAACTCGTGAAAGGTTTTGTAGAGGTGAGCAGATAGTAGTGAGGGACAGAAAAAAGGTGCAGGGGATGAGAGAGGAAGAGAGATGGTGGGAGGGGAAGCAGGGACAGAAGAAAGCTGAGTGATAGTGGAAGACTGAGTGGAGAAAGTTTGAAAGAGGCAGAGGGCATGCCTGAGGGAAAATAAATGGAATATGAGTTAGGGAGGGAATCTGTAAGCTTTATATGCAGCCAATGCTGATTTTGTTCAGCCACTCTGCACTTCTGGGGCTTTGGGATTGGAAGATACCATAGGCAGAGTAAAGACGGGGGCTCAGGGAGGACACTGACCTACAGATTAGCTATAATTATGGAGATAAATAACTGTTTCTCATCTTTATATGACATTTACATGAATATGAATCATCACAGGTCTTCATCAACTTTGCCATGGGAAAGGTTGGCATGGAAACCATACCTCAAGGCGAGGACGAACATGAGCTGGGCTCCATTAAAGCAATACAAACAAAGAGCTGAGTGCCATCTCGTCTGTGTACACAGTGAGATGAAACATAGTACTGTGGCTTTTTATAGTAAATTTGCCATTAATCTAAATGTGAAAACCAAAAGTTAAGCCATTCATGTTTTAAAAACGGATTATTTCTTGAAAGTCTCCTGACAGATCGTATGAAGGGTGACGTAATTGTACTGTTAACATAAGCCAGAAAGTACACGCACATTCAAGTCAATTCTCTTTTGGTTTATTCACTTTTCATATTTTATAGCTCAGGCATATCAACTTGTATTTTACCTTTCACTGAATCTGATTATTTTTGAAGGATGAAATTAATTGTATAGGCAGTTTATTTCACTCTGTGTTTGGGGCACTGGTCATATTAAAATATTTTACCATAGCAATCAAAAACACTATTTTCTATTTAAGGTCATGTTTATTTGGCCTTAATATTGGCAAAACAATTTTAGATCATCGTACATACTCACCAAATATATAATATGTCTAATGAAGTATATTTTTAATCTGATGTGAATGTAATTGTTCCTGCTGGATGACTTTTGACAAATAAATAAAATGAATGTACTGTTATCTTTCCTTTCCTGGGATATATCAATCTTATTTTTGTAATTCTAATAAAGCAATTATTCAAGTGCAACTACTGCTTATTTGTCTATTTTAATGCTTCCATAATGTTTAGCATTGGATCACATTCAAGATTTTTGTCTGTGTTGCTATGTTGCATCTAAACTACTAGCATCCCAGTTTATTTCTGCTTATTACATTTAGGCTACATTGTTTAATTGTAAGTGTTTATCATGCTCTTTTCTCACAATTGTGCAGATAAAGGAAACGTTATAGACCAATCACACAAACTTATAGAGCCAAATAAATATACAGTAGCAAGAGGCCAGAACAAAAACAGAAATTTTGGAAAATTGCATAAACACATATAGGCCTATTCTTTCAAAAAGAAATTTTGAAAAGTATGCTTGTGCACATAGATGCCCAGTCTAAAACCCTGTAACATACCTTGGAAATTCACTGAATGAAGCGGATGCAACATTATGACGTCAAAACTGACGGCTTCTAAAGCTAACTTCTGCTGTTGAATTGCATGTTTGCGTTTAGAATTGAAGTAACACTGTCGACATGCCATACAATGTACATTTGGGCATTTTAGATAGGTTTCATAGAAAATTAAGCTTCCTACCATGTCACCTGTTGAAAATTACGTCATCTCCGTAGTTATGGCAACCACCCCGAAACACTTCCGTATTTTCTTGGCGGGAGTTGCAAGTTGGCAGGAAGGAAGTTTGGCATGGTCTGAGGTATTTATACATAGCGCTAACGATACATGCTACAACAGAAGAGCTGGTAAACGAACGATAGTTCTTCCAAGAATGGATCTTGATGGGCCAGTTCACACTGACGACTGGAAGAACACTAAGAATGCTGTTGGGAATTTTCGTCGACTGCTACTTTGCTCCAAGTGGTAAGGTTAGATAAGTAAAACATTCCCGTAAGGATAGTTAACGTTAATGTTAGATGTTGCGTGACTTTTGCATAACTTTAATGCTAACTATAGAATTAGTTTTAGAGCCAGAGGTATTCAGGTGTTTTTTTAAACGAAACTAGCTAGGTAGGTATATTTTGAATCGGTAAAGGAAGTTAGCTAACGCTAGCTCGGAAGCGTTGACGTTAACTAAAGTTACCAACAACGTCTGATTTCTGTAACAGGATTAATATTACCGTGTAACAGTGGCATGACTGATGCTTTTGGAGTTTAAGTTGGCTTATTTGCTCAACTGACAAATTGGGCTATTCAGAGTTAGCTTTCCAAAGAGTCACTTGACGTGGAAAGCCTACACTTTTGCAGAATGGCGTCTGCATAAAACTGCCTCTTAATCACTTTTTTTTTTTCAAGTTAACTGTCAGAGCCACCTAACGTCTTGACACAGTCTTATGGGTTTTGGTTGTATTCATGTAAAATCAAATCAAGATCTAGTTGAATTACATTGATAGCACATCCACATACAGTACACGTTCCATAATGTCACTGAAATTGTAAAGCCATTCAGGAACAATAACACAGGAGCACAATAAAGACTGCAAGTTCATTATAACAAAACACAACACAATATGATAAAAACGACAGTAGATCACAGATAAACAGAGCAGCATGGTTTTGGCACAACAACAATACACAGTGCATGACATCCCACAGAGCAGGTGGAGTAGCCTGAGGTTGGAGAAGCTGGAATGTTGTGTAAAAGCTTCACTCAAGATAAAGTGTACAGTTTAACTCTGACTGTGGATGTAAATATAGATTAAGGCACACATAACTGCAGAGAGGGCACCCTGTAGTAAGTACCATCCAAAGAATAATGCCATATCAGAAGCTGGTTCCATTGTGTGTGGGGGTTTGTAATTGTGTGACTACACAGTGGATCAGTGTGAGGTTTACACAGTGGGAGTAAAGACAGTTTGACCAGCTGACACACCTTTGAAGGGCTGTTTGTGGGTTAAGACCTGATGTTAGGGTAAAGGTAAGAGTTGGCATTTAGTTTTGATGGGTAAGGGGCTAGGGAAGGTCACACCAGATGAGCATGCCATCCTGCCTGTCAGCAGGTGGAGGTGCGCAGCATGTTGGAGTTCCTCTCTATTCCGATTGTAATGAAATGTTTTGATTTTTTTTTCCCAGCTCCAGTTTAATGATGGAGCCTGTGTGTCTAGGAGTGTGTGAGCATATGCTATGCAGGTAATGTAATCTCAGCTAAATGTGTTGCAGTCTGACATGTTCATCATTAACTGTAGACCAATGTAATGCTGGACATTTTTATCTGTCAAACAGTTATATCTAATAATGTTAATGATGGCTCCATTATGTGTGCTGCTGTCTGGATTCTGGGATTGTTCATGTTGGTTTACATGAAGAGTGGCTTAATCTAGTAAGAATTTATAGATGGATAGATTAAAAATGCATTTATTAAATAATTTTAACATCCCTATTGTAGCAGATATGCCTCTGATCTCTCTATAGGCATAATCTAGAGCCTCAATTTATTTCTTGTCCTCGTGAATGAATGGTGTTAAAGGTAAATCAGTAAGCTTGTTGTATTTCTTCACAATGAACTGTAAAGTGGACTCCTAATCCAAGATCCGTTTATTGCTCAGGGCTTGTGCTGGCCCCCGCGCAGGAGATGGTTGTGTGGTGTGTCACAGCCCCGCATGGGTGAAGGACATCCAAATCAACAGGCAGCTCAGCAGCATCATACAGGTCTTCTGTAGTTTGGAGTCCCTGCTGAATCCCATAGAACAACCAGGTAGATGTTTGCTATATAAGCAGCTTGAAACCTTAATTAAATTCTCAGCTCCTTGTGGCTTATTCATTATCCACAACTTCTCATATCAAATGATTTGATTTGATTTTGATTTGATTTATTCTTTCAAGCATGTAAAGACAGTTGATATGTCAACACACATAATTTTACACATATCCAACAAATGCTAATCCATTATCAATTTGCTTATACCTAGTACATGCTTGAATGGAGTAGGAAGAAGTCAGACTTATCCAGTCCTACCCCATGACATCATCTTACCATCATTGGTTTGCAAGCAGTATCTCTACATAAATAATTATCTTCTACACCACACAAGTAATATACTAAAGAATTATTACAAAGTGTTAACATTCATACACCACACCCACAATGTTCCATCTAATTAATCATTAAGCCTGTTCTTGCATATATCTTGATTGACACATACCTTTATATTTATGTTTAAACTCGTCAATTCTATTACTATTTTTTTATGTCCGCATTTAGATTATTCCATAGTTACCTCACTATGGAAATTCAAAATCTTTTTTTGGTTGTACGTATAGCATGAATTTTTAAATTTAACTGACCCCTTAAATTGTATCCCCCTCCCCTTTCATTAAATAGTTTTTGAACTCCACCAGGTAATAAATTGTTCCTGGCTTTATACAAAAACACAGCAGTCTTATATCCCACTAAATAAAAATTTTAACAATTTAGACTGTATGAAAGCTACATTGGTGTGATCCCTATACCCCAACTTATGCACAATTCTTATCGCTCTTTTTTGTAATATATACAATGGTTGAAGTGAGCTTATGTATGTATTTCCCCAGTTTTCAACGCCATACTCCAAGTATGGTAAAATCAATGAAGAATACAAAATACGTAGTGCTTTCC